GTGTGTGTGTGTGTGTGTGTGTGTGTGTGTGTGTGTGTGTAGGCCAGAGTACAACCTTGCATGTTGTTCCTTGGCATCTGGTTTTTGAGACATGGTTTCTCACTGAGACCTGGAGCTTTCCAATTGGGCTAGGGTGGCTGGCCCTTGAGCCCCAAGGACCTGCCTGTCTCCACCTCCCCAGGACTCGGGTTATAAGCATGTTCCGCTGTGCCTGGCTTTTCTACATGGGCTCTGGGAACCCAGCTGAAGCTCTCATGCTTGCATGGCATGCACTCCACTGACTGAGCCATCTCCCCAAACCCTAAAATTGCACTTAAGAATAATTCTTCTGTATCTTTGTGTTTTCCTTCTTTCTCTCTTCTTTCTGTCCTTCCATCTTCCCTTTTCTTTTCTACTAGGATCAAACAACACAAGTCGGATAACGGCAAACACAGAAAATGGGGAGAATGAAGGAACAACCAAAATTATTGCACCTTCACCAGTAAAAAGGTCAGTGAATATAATTGTGTGTTGTCATAAGAAATCTTCTTTGATGGCAAGGTTGTGAATCTTGTCACTTTGATGACTAATTAATACTTTTGACCCAGGGGTTTCAGTAGATAGTATCTGAGGCAAAGCTATGTCACAATGCCAGTGAAATGCAAACACCAGGACCCGCCCCCCTCCTTGCAGAGAGCACCTTGCTGCTACAGCATGGTGAATTCTCAGATAGTGTGTGGTGTGCATTCTCAGCAGCACAGTGAACACTCCATGTGATTTTTAAAATCATGGTTTAAGGGACCAACTCAGAGGGACCTGTGAAGTAAAGATGATGCTGATGTTTGAAGCACTCTGTTCATTACAATGATGCACTGAACTGTGGCCCTGGGGAGAGGCTTTATAGCTAGAGGCCTCAGAGCCTCAGAAGTGGGAGATTGCATATGTATGAAGACTTGTCTTGGTCCTTGGCAACAATTTTCTCAGTGGCATTCCCTAGTGGAAAGACCTCCTCTTAATGTAGTACATGGATTGTTTCCTGAAAGATCAGCCTTGTTTTCTGTTAAGGCAGTTTCAGAGTCATTTTTTTCCTATCTCCAATTACGTTCCGGGAGCAGCATTCTTAACGTACAATGAGCAGCTTTCATAAGTCTGCTTTCCCTCTAGAGGCTGCCCCATTTGCATCATGGAGAAGTCCCTATAATCGCAGATTGTGACCTGCAAGGACGCCTTAGACCATCATCCACTCCATCTTTTGTTAGTAAATAATGGTGCTTTCATCAAACTGGACTGCCGTACTTTGAGGAATATAGTATGGTTCCTCAGCAAGATAGTTTAGAAGAAAGGCTTCTCAGAGTTGGGGATGTTTTCCCTTACACTTTTGGGGGCATTCTCCTTACAGATTATCTTTTTTAAATGCCATGTTTTTTACCTTTGAATGCATTTTTGTTAAGTAGCTGGCCCCACAGTTATGGGTAGCGGCAGCTTGATCTGCATGTACAGGGCATGCTTAAGATATAGCCAAGGTAAGACCAGTAATCTTCCTTGAAATTCAGATCCCAAGCCTTTTAGAATGGGCATAAGGAGTTCAATCCCTTTTGTAATTCATTGCTGCCTATAGGCCTGATACCTGAGGGGAGGCCAATTCCCACACAGGCTGCAGAGGAGAAATAGCTTAGGGAGAGAAGGCAATTAACATGCCCCCTGGGATTTCATTATTCTTGAACATTCTCCACTCTACTCAGGATTCCTCTTTCATCTTCTTTTTCTCCATCTCCCTTCCTGTCTTATTAAACACGCACACTTTTGTGCTAGTCTATTCCATCTCCACTGTGCTTTTTATTTTGCTCATGTCAACAGGTAAGCTTTTACTTTGGAAATTTGAGCTTTGGAATTTGAGTTTTAAATTATTAAACAACATATTGTTCATATATAAAACATACCTACTATCTAATAAATGTTTGATGCATATGTCCTTGCAGGGTGTATTATTTTATAAGTAGATATTTTTTCTGTATGAATGTAGTGTACCAAGGCAGAAGTTTGCTTCTTTTGTTTTTAAAACACCCTTACCACTTTTCCTTCTCTTCTTGGTTGCTATTATTAAGAACTCTGCTACTGCTATGTTCTGCAACTATTATATAAAGTCCTCCAAAGGCCAGGGTTAAGAGTAGATTAGGAATTAAGTGGCTCTTTTTCTCTGCAAGCTAAGACCCCCCAGGAAGTGAGAGGTGACCCTGCAGCCCTGTGCTGATCCCTTCTTCTGTTTCCCTAGGTGTTTCTGAAACAATTTGTTGGGCTTGAATAACAACTCAGTTATACTTACAATCTTAGGGCAGAAAGATGATACCAGGGCAGGAAATAGCTTTTAAAAGTCATTCTGATCTGAAAGGATGAAGCCAAGATACAGCGGAAGCTGGGAGAGGGCAGACTGGGTCGCCTGAGGCTGCCCAGGGCTGACTGGCCTCCAGTGCTTCAGAGCCAAGTCCAGAGCCAAGGTATGTGGCCACTGCTGTAAAGAAGGCCAGCCTCCTGGGTGTGGATGTCCCAGGTTCCCTTCCTCCTCAGCTTGTTCCCTTTATCTGTTTGGTAGTTGTCCTTGCTTTCCTGAGGTGCACTCTTAAAAATTCTTTTAAAATTTATTTTATTTTTTAAACAATTTTTATTAATTGAGAATTTCTTGCAATTTGTCTTGATCACATTCACTCCTCCCATATTCTCTCCCACGTCCCTACTCACCCAACCTCCTGCCTCTTTAAAAAATTTTTTAATTTTTATTTTTTAAAATTATTTATTTAATAACCACATACTTAGAAGAAGCATTTCATTACAAGAGCATTGATATATTCAGTAACAGTTTCCTGAGCTAAGATGCATCTCTTTCAAAGTTAGCTGTAAATTTTTAGGTTTATAGTTGAATTATTACAGTTATAAAATATTGCACTCAGTATAAACCCTATAAGGCATAAAATTAAATGAGGTTTTAACCTTTAAAAAAGAGCTCCATTCCATTTTAAAATATATTGTTTCCTACAAAAAGACTCATTTTTATTCATTTACTTATTTTGGTCTTTTTGAGACAGGGTCTCCCTGTAGCCCTAGCTGGCCTGGATTCGCTATGGAGACCAGGCTGGCCTCGAA